TGCACCCACTGGCACCTTTAAAATCCACTAATTAATTTGTTAACTGTTACCGTTTTCCTTCTTGCTTGATCCATTAAAAAATGCATGTGTGGTTGGGAGAAATTGAGGCAGTATTGCCAAATATTTTCAGCCGAAAGAAGTTTACCTGAGCCTGCTCCCTAAAATTAATGTTGTTGGATTATGTCACATGCTACTTTGTATATTTATATAATCTATGATGTCATAATATTTATATAAATTATACAAGATTTTTAAAAAATATGAAGTCAGCCTAAACTTTACTGACTCTAAATAATTTGCTATTATTGTTTTGTATTATTTTGAGAACTAAATGTTCTTAAATACAGGTAGTCCAATAAAATGTAAAACAAAGGAGTACTATGTTTGTTCTGACACATCTTGACTATCATTCTGTAATATGGCCCAGTGCAGCTAAGAAAGATTTGCAAGGAAGAGAAACCTCCTCCAACGATGGAGATGAGTAATTGGTCATTAGGGACACATACAGTATGTACTGCTTTTCTGTGTGAATGCTGATTGGTTGACTGAAAGTCCTGATGCTGTTCCCTACTCACTGGACAACGTCAGTCCATGAGAGCAAAAAAAAAAAGTTACTAAAGAGACCTTAAAAGTTGCTAAATCTAGAGAAGTTTCCAAGTTGGGAACACTGGTTGCCAACCAGAAGAAATTTAAGAAATACAGTAGTTTAGCATGTAATCCCCTTTAAAACCATGAACTTGTTTTTACACTTCTATTTTTACATGCACAAAACAAACATACAACATGTTAATTAGTGAGCTTTAGAGGTGTTAGTAAGTAGATGTTACTTTAGACAGAGCCAGGCTCGCTGTTTTCCCCCTTGTTTGCAGTCTGTGTGCAAGCTAAGTACTGGCTGCAACCTTACAGTATATTTAATGGACAGTCTTGAGGGTGCTATTGATCTTCTCTGCCAGAAAACAGTAGCATACTTCCTTAAATGTCATACTAGTTTGTTAGCAATCGTTAATAAGGCTTACAGCAATAGAATGCAGAACGTTTAACTTTTATAATTTCGTTTTAGTTAAGTGAACAATGTTTATGTACATTTGAGGGCATAATTTCAGTGTCTCAGCAAGTGTGATATTTTAAAATAATATGCTGCTACACTTGATATCTTATTATACTTTGTTAATTCAGTTTGCTTCATGTGATCTTCCCATATATTTATAAATGAGAAATGTTTTAATAAGAGTAGTTCATTGCCTTAATGCACTCTGCCAAGCTAATAGATTGTGTGTCTGAGCCTAAACTTAAACCATATTTTATAAGACAATGTTGTATGTACAGCTGGTAAAGCCCACTGTACCTGTAGAGGCCAAACAGAAAGAAGGTGCGGGTCATCCTGATCATTTTTTGAGTTCCTTGTAGACCCATGTGAACACTGCCAGAGGATGCCTGTCTGGAAGGTAAACTGATTTTGTTTTTGGTGAAACTATGAATGAGACAGACTGCAGAGTCATGGTATGGGGAGTCAGTGCTTTCCTAATGACACCTTACAGTTCAAGAAAGTGCCCACACTGACACTGAATTCCTGTTCAGCCTTGGAGTTTAAATGACCTGCATGTGGTTTCCAGCCCCCCTGCCTGTACCTCTGTCCCTCTCATGGCCCTTCGTGTGCTGCTGTGCTCGTCTCCTAATGGTTTTCCTTTCACTTTTCTACAGTCTTCCCCCTCTTTTTTGCAGTGTCCATTATTGGCAGTGAAGTACAAATACCTTCTGTTAAAAAGCTAGTCGTTTTAATTTGGTTTCTGCTACAATGTTTTCTATTTGGGTAACTCTGAAAAGAGTGGGAAGGCTCCTAAATATGTCTGGTTTATTTTGTTTCTAGATATGTTATAAATGTAATCTCTCAGTTTTGTGTAAAATGTATTACTCTCTATATCTAATTTTTTTTTAAATCAGTTCTAATTTAAATTTCATTCTTACAAATTCTGTACTTTGTTGAGATGTTCTTCAGTACAAGACGCCATTATAATATCACAGATTAATAATTAGATATTAAATTGATGGTTTAATGAAAATATATTTCTTTGAGCACCATTTATTTGAAAGGAGTAAAGTGTTACCACTTCCAGCTTTTTAAAAATCAAAACTGGGTATTTCCCAGTGAAAGATCACTAAAAGGAATTAGCATATTAGTAGTATTAGCTATCAAACACCATGTTGACTAATAGACTTCAAAGATTCATATGTAAAGCAGCAGCAGCTCCTGCATCACTTGCGTGATTTGTTATGTGTGTGCGTGGCTGCCCTTCAGGCCTGAAGACCATTGTGGGTGCCCTGATCCAGTCTGTGAAGAAGCTTTCCGATGTGATGATCCTAACTGTCTTCTGCCTGAGCGTCTTTGCCCTCATCGGTCTCCAGCTCTTTATGGGTAACCTGCGCCAGAAGTGTGTGTTCTGGCCAATCAACATAAATGAGAGCTACCTGGCCAATGGCAGTAAGGGCTTTGACTGGACTGAGTACATCAACAATGAGAGTAAGTAGAGGCAAGCCTTCACCAGCGGTCAGCTGGCAGTGATCTAGGATTATGAGTCAGCCCATATGCTGGAATGACCAAACAGTATGTTGTTTTGGCACTGGATAGACAGAAGGAATTGGTTTAAACGGAACTATCCTGATTTCAAAATGCTTCAGAAACTGAAGTCAGAAATGAGTCTGAAGGCATTTACAATCCTTTTAGAATAGACAGGTATAGCTGCAACAGGAGGTGTGTAAAATGACTCATTATGGCTGTTTTTTTTTCCTTCAGCCAATTTCTATATACTGCCTGACCAGACAGATGCTCTTCTCTGTGGGAACAGCTCCGACTCAGGGTGAGTTACCTCCTCTGGCCACCAAATGCCCGCTAATCCAAGACTTTCTGTAGCTCTTTTATCTGCTTGTCATCACATTGCATTATAAGTAAAAGGGGCTGAGTCATTTTGAGCCTGTTGCCCTGTTCTTTCTCTCTCTCTTCCCCCTCCCCCCAGTCGCTGTCCAGAGGGCTACACATGCATGAAAGCTGGGAGGAATCCAAACTACGGCTACACCAGCTTTGACAGCTTCGGCTGGGCCTTCTTGGCTCTCTTTCGACTCATGACGCAGGACTTCTGGGAAAACCTTTACATGCTGGTAAAGCTGATCTGTCAACAAGTTCAGTTTGTTTCAGAAAAGGCTCATATGGTATTAGTCCTCAAATATTACTGCATATAATTAGTAGAAGTCCATAGAGATATGAAATGGTTAATCAGTTAGTCTGGCAGCATAAAAACAAATCATAGTAAGTGATTTTTTTTTATTTATATCACCATAAATTGAATCCTATCCCCAGCGTTTTTACCTGCCTTTTTATACCCATGCAAAATACTGATATGTGGGACTAAAAGACTGTTTTAAACTCTTGATAAGTTTGCCAATCCCTTTTGTGGGAATGCTGTATTGTGTACAGTTAATATCAATGAATGCCAACTACATTCATAATTTATGTGTGGGGGAATTTCACTTCTCCTTTGCATTTTTTGCTCTGCTCCCTGAAGACAGTTTGCCTTTAGAAGAGGAGGCTGATGACTGGAAATATTTTTATTAAAATGAGGGGCAAGGTCCTATGTTACACTAAAAACCTGTTAAATGTCTCTGTAAATAAAACTAAATAAATGTGTCCTTTCACTTGTAAATTTATCTTAACCCTCTAATATACCTGCATCAAAAAGAAGATAGACAACGTATTTATATTAAGAGCACATTATCTCAAGTGTTTTCCAGAATTTTCTCATGTGATCTTCCATGCCCCTGAACCTCAAGCTTCTCACTTCCCATCTCTGGGAAGTGCTGGGTATAGCATCCCTGTTCATAAAAATTGTTGGGTTGTGCTCTGGCTGGTACAGTGTGAAGGAAAATTGGGTCAAAATACGGATCTTGTGTCTCACTCTGATGAACAGCTCAACCTTGGGCTCATACTGAGTACCTTAAACTGAGCACAGTGTATCCATTTTTTCCTGTGTAGAAAAGATGGTTGTGTATCGATTCATCATTATGTGAGGTGATAGTAGAGCCCACTTCAGTGCTGCAGTATTGAAACTAGAAATTAGCACTTAACTGTAGGTGTGTTTGTATTTCCTCCTTAAACCTACTGTCTAGAGCAAGTAACAGACACTTATGCTGAGTTGATTTTTACACCCAGAAATGCCTCATCAGGCCAATTTGCCCATCCACCAACAGCTGCCTGTTTATTTTTGATGAGTCATTGTGAAAGATGGGCAGTGAGGTTGACACTTAGTTTCAGTATCAGTTGCATCTCTTCTGGTCCCTGCCTTCATCCCCTTTCACCCCAATTTGGCTGCACTGCCTCCCAACAGACCCTGAGGGCAGCAGGGAAGACCTACATGATCTTCTTTGTGCTGGTGATTTTTGTGGGATCTTTCTACTTGGTAAATCTGATTCTGGCTGTGGTGGCCATGGCTTATGAGGAGCAGAACCAGGCCACCATTGAAGAGGCCCAGCAGAAAGAGGAAGAATTCAAGGCTATGCTGGAGCAGCTCAAGAAACAGCAGGAAGATGCCCAGGTCAGTCCTCTGCTGCTTGGAGGCTAACATTATTCCTGAGTCATTTTATATTATTGTTCTGACTTTATTTATGTCCTTTTTTCTTTGCAGGCTGCTGCCATGGCAACCTCTGCAGGCACAGTGTCAGAGGACGCTGTAGAGGATGATGGAGGAGGCCGTCTGTCATGCAGTTCCTCTGAGATGTCGAAGCTCAGCTCCAAGAGTGCCAAAGAGCGGCGCAACCGCAAGAAGAAATGGCGGCAGAAAGAGCAGGAGAAGGAGAAAGGTGACAGCGAGAAGTTTGTCAAGTCAGAGTCAGATGATGGTAGCAAGAGGAGCCGCTTCCGTTTTCCTGATAACCGGCTGGGTCGAAAGTCTTCCATTATGAACCAGGTGAGGAAACCAAGGATAAGGAATGGACAGGTTCAGGCATTTCTCACATTATTCTCATTATTTTTTGTGTTAATACAGCATCAACATTTTACCTGATTACAAAATGATAAGAATTTGTGTGTCAACAATTTAAGATTTTTTAAGATAAACTGTAAAACTGCAATAAATGCCATTTATTATCTGGATTACATTGGATTGGTGAGAGAAAATGTGCAGTCAGAAAAATCTCAAAACCTCAGCATATAAAAGTGAAACTATCTGCATAGTTGGACACCACAATAGGTACAGTACATGAAGTCTGAGCTGACCTTTTAGGCTTTATGAGGCTCAGTGATAGTTATTAGTGACAAACGCAAAAAGAGATCAAAGAAGTCCATAACAAGAACAGACTTTTTCCTTTCTGTTTTTTTCCCCGGTCAGGTTAGGAACACCTCACATTTGAAAATGCTGCTAAGATAAAATCTGTTGTAGGGATGCACCGATACCATTTTTTTTTTTTTCAGGAAAAGTACTTACTTTCAGGAGCTTGCCGATACCGAGTACCGATACAAGTGCTTAATAATAATGCAGTGTTTCTGTTAACAAAATTATGACCATAAAAAAACTTTAGAGTCAGTTTATATATTCATGAGATTAACCTTCTGATTGTGATTAAATTATAACAGGAGCCTGTGCAAATCTGAAAACACAGCACTGCCACCATCCCTATTGAATGTAACTGACTGGTCTGTAGCCTACTGCATAACATACTGTAATGCAGTGATTTTCTAGCCTTAGAACTGTTAGGATGAAATGGTTTCACAACCCCCACCCAGAACAGCAGGTTTGGGAGCACATAATATCACAGTTGGCAATTTAAATGTTTAAGGGTACATGTTCTGGTGACTGTCTGTGGCTTCATCCCATCCTCTCTTCGCTGGTCCCAGCCTCCACGTCCAAAACGATTCAACTCATTGTCATACACACAGCTCATCAGACCGTAAACTACATAAAATGAGCATTTGTTTTTTCTTGTTCTCGTCAATTCACTATAGTTATCATAACAAGCACTGTTTGGGTTTACTGGGTGAACAGGACCATGAGTTTTGACCGTGGGGAGAGTGAAGATGTTGTATTTCTGCAAGTTTGCTGTTGTGTTCAGCTTATTTAACAGTTGTTTGATTTATTACCCTCTCCATTGCTGCTGGATTTTGTTGCACATATCAAGTGTTGTTGTCGTGGTAAAATACTAACTACTGTACTTTGTCATCCTGTCCATTATGTGTGTGTGAGCACCCCTCCCTCCTTGTCACAGAGCAGAGAATCAGAGCTCACAGTCAGCCTTACTTTTGTCATTGGCACCTGTCCTAAAATATTGACGAATCACTGAAATTTTCTTCTCCTCCGCCTAATGAGCGGCTCTGCCAGCATGAGGTTAATGTAATATACAGTACTAGAGGGTGGTATTGGACCCAATACTGACAGTGGTATCTGTACATCCCTAATTTGTTTTTGCACAAGCTCTTATACAGATGAACATATACTGGCTAGAGAGGTGCATGACCAGATTCTGAATAATTCACAATGATTGTATGAATGTTTCAGGCAGAGCAATCCTGCAGCTTTGTTTGGACCTCACTTGATTCTGCTGGCCCTTATTGTTATGTTGTTTAGTGAAGTATTCACCAAATAGGATAACAATGCATACTGATACTTATGTAATGCTTTTAACATACTGACATGACATGGAGTGGTTACTTTGTTCTTTACAGTCACCACCTCTGAAGGCAGATATGAAAAATGTGATATCAGTTGAGTTAAAGCTCTGCTGCTATAATTTTGTGATCAATACTTGCAGCATTCCAGGACATTATTGTCATAACTCATGTTCCTTTCCTGAATCTCAGTTGTGTGTGTGACCTTGACATTGTAACTATCACTGACCTAACTATGTGATTCCCTTGTTTATTAAGTCACATGATTGCTTCAGCAGAATATGCCTACTCATAGATGTTGCCTTTCATCCTGCCTTCCGGAACTGATGACAAACAACAAAAAAATTATGTTACAGTCCGTTGTTATTCAGAACACCCTGGGCTACATCAGTCAAGCAAATGTCTTCTCTCCTTTCCTCTCTTCTCCCCTCCAGTCCCTCCTCAGTATACCCGGCTCGCCTTTCCTGTCCCGCCACAATAGTAAGAGCAGCATCTTCAGTTTCAAGGGTCGTAGTAAGGACGTGGGCTCTGAGAACGAATTTGCTGATGATGAGCACAGCACAGTCGAGGAATGTGAGGAGCGTCGAGGCTCCCTGTTCAGCCCATACAGGCGGAGCAGCTACAGCAGCTTTCATGGGAAGAGGAACAGCACGGTGGATTGCAATGGCGTGGTGTCACTCATTGGCCCTGGGCCTGGTGGACGCCTTCTGCCTGAGGTGAAAATCGATAAACCAGCTTCTGATGACAGTGTAAGGAAGTCAATGAGTAGACCTATCTAGGCATGGCCCCCCCTCTCGTCCGTTCCTTTTTTTTCTGGTTCTCTATCCTCTGTCATCTTTGCAAGTCCATATGTATCTCTTGGCTAAGCGCTCGCGCCTCCCCTCCCCTAGCCCCTGCCGAGTATGCTGCCCCCCGACAGTAGGCAAAGGATGGAGACATAATTGAATTTTATAGTGAATATACTGTAGCCAAACCTGTATTTGATTGGTCAGTGAAACTGGGTCTATCAGTGACTTCCAGGCAGTTGTGTTGTTTGATTTGAACAGTGACTGTCAATGTTTTGGATATGTTCATATCAGATTTACTCACACATGCACAGTACTCACAGGATTTGATTACTCTTCTGCTTCCCATTAGATTTTGGCACACAGATCTAGCCTGTGTTCAAGATTTAATACACAACTTTTTGTGTTGGATGTCAAGTTTCCATTTTACACAGTGTAGTATTACAACACAATTTATGTTAAGAAACAGTGCATAATGATGAGCTAGCATGCTCCAGTGTGTTGATATGTTCCTCCTCCAGGCGTCCAGGTACTCTGCTAGCCTGTGTGGGTAGATCTGCAGTAGGAGGTGGAGGAAATGGGGGGAACCTGCACTGTAGAGCCACACACATTTTATCTGCTTCCCTTATACACTCTTAATATCTCACAACAGATAAACAAGTAACACACCCCATATAAGGCCTTAATATTGTAATTTAAAAAAAGGGAAGGCTGCTGTCCTTGTCTGTCTTTTCTTTCTCTGTTTTCCACTCTCCCTGGTCAACATTAGTGAATTAGTTGTGTCTATCTCTAGTTAGTATGGTAGATTTAAATCCTAATTTAGAATAAGCATGACAAAGATAAGTAGAGCAGTGGCTATGGTGTCTATAATTTCCTCTCCTTCTCTTTGACTTGGAGCATGCACATGCATGACAACTGGATTGACCACTTGCCTCCATATGATCTTTTTACAATGCTCTTGACTTGATGGTTGCAATATAAGTTGTATGGTTTCGTAGTAGAAAGATACCGTAGCATCAATTTGCGATTAAGAATAAAATAGCCATATTTGGGAGACATGTTATAAAATAACCTAATGATTATATTGCAATGGCAGCAAAGCCTCCATTATTGCATGACAAGACTGAAAATGCATTCATGCAGAAGCAGTTTTCCTTGCACAATATCTCACAGTCAGTTTATTATTTAATCAAGATGAGCTAATGACATGCAGACACAGGTTAGGTCAAGTAGCCCTAGACCACTGCTCCCACTTTGGCTGAGACTTGCATGCATTTACAGCACACGTGCATCTTTCCTGAGATAGAAAAGAAAGAAACATGCCCTGTCCCCATCCCAAAAACCGGATCCTGGACTACTTATTCCCGCCAGTGCTGTTGTGCACTTCCCTCTGCCGGCCACTGGTGGTGATATGGGGTGGTGTTCATGTCCTCTCCATGGGTGCTTGATTCTTCCTCTCCTCCTAACAGCCAACTTCTGAGGTTGAGGTGAAGAAGAAGCTGTCGGGCTCCCTGATGGTGTCTGTGGACCAGCTCAATACCTCTTTTGGGCGGAAAGAGCGGGCCAACAGTGTCATGAGCGTCATTACCAACACACTAGTGGAGGGTACTGCCAATTTAACCCAGCTATTTAACCTGCTTTTTCATTATTATTTAACTAGGGCTGCTCTCATTGGTTGATTAGTATGACATGAATTTCCTGCTTATCTGCTTTGCATATCCAACAGTACAAGATACATACAATGCATACAGTTTTTCTTTTTTATAATTTGATACCATTGCATGCTGTATGCTCAAGCATGCCAGAATGTTTGGATTTGATGTGTGATCCGCGCTGTGTCTTCAGAGCTGGAGGAGTCTCAGCGCAAGTGTCCACCATGCTGGTATAATTTTGCTAACACATTCCTCATCTGGGAGTGCTCTCCTCTATGGATTAAGATCAAGGAGATTGTGAACCTGATAGTCATGGACCCTTTTGTGGACTTAGCCATCACCATCTGCATCGTCCTCAACACTCTCTTCATGGCCATGGAGCACTACCCCATGACCCAGGAGTTTGAGCACATGCTGACTGTAGGCAATCTGGTGAGTGTCAATTTTTTGTTCTTTTATTTTTATCTGATTCACCCATAAACGATCTCTGCTTCCTCTCAGCAGCTGATAGAGAGGTGATATTTTTGGGACTGTAATTGGGAGCTCTTTCACTGTCGATTCAGCGCTGAAAGGGGGGGAAAAAGTTCTCAAACCCCTGCTGCTTCCTTGTATCCATGCATTTCTCATTTCTTCTTATACAGGCACACACGTATCTTTTCCTTCTCTCTCTCTCTCTCTTCACTGGGACCAGCCTGCCTCTCCACTGGCTGGCTGACTGGTGGGAGGCCTGCATTAATATTTCATGGAGCTTGATCAATGAGTTGCTGTAAAATGGTTCCTGAATCATGGCTTGGATACCACAACCTGGCCATTTTCACTGTTAACATTTTTAAGGAAACTGAGTAAATCTGAGCACTGATAATTGATTGTTGTTTTACTTTCCAGTATGTGGTACAGATGACACAGGCTGTAGTTAGTGCAGTAATGACCTACTAATTTTGTGTGTGTGTATAAATGTTGGCTTACAATTGAAACAGCATGGAAATATGTTATTTTCCATCTCTTTTACAGAATATTTTAACAGAAAAGGCCAATGGGCGGTACAGGTAGAAAATTATAGGTCACTGTGATGCAAAAATATTCATTATCTTACACAAACACATATAAACACCTACAGTACAAACCTTAGATGTACTTACACTGTCCATCTATTCATTATGTTGGCTCTATGATATATTAGAGCTGTTACAAGGCTACAGAAATACCATTTCATCCTTACTGACTACAGAACGGCTATGACACACACACACACACACACACACACACACACACACACACACACACACACATTAACTAGATATTCTGCCTCTTTAAACCACTGTGTTTATCTTCTTGGTGAAAATCAATATGTAATTGCTATAGGGGCGATCCATAACATGCTTTTTCTTTAACATTTATAATGCTTCAGACCAAGTATTTGCATCTTCCATCGCCTGTATCCTTCCTTCTCCTCTGAAGCATTTTGTTGATCCATTTGTTCAGATCCGTTCTTTTTCCTACCTGTCAGGTGTTCACTGGGATCTTTGCAGGGGAGATGGTTTTGAAGCTGGTGGCCATGGATCCGTACTACTATTTCCAGGAGGCCTGGAACTGTTTTGATAGTGTCATTGTGACGCTGAGTTTAGTGGAGCTGGCTCTGGCTGACGTTGAGGGCCTGTCTGTGCTGCGGTCATTCCGATTGGTAAATGCTCACTTTAGCTTCTCTCTTAGCACAACCAAAGACAGATTGCATGTGCTTTTAGCTTCTCAGCATGTGGAGCATACATATTTTGTAGCTCAAAATCGTATTTACAGACAGTATACCTGCTTGTTCATGATATTTTCAATTAAAGAAAGCAGCAAGTTAGTAATGCAAAAACATTTAGAGTATGACAAACCCATATCCCACATACTCTTTCCACCCTCTTCAGCTGAGAGTGTTTAAGCTGGCCAAGTCATGGCCCACCCTCAACATGCTGATCAAGATCATTGGTAACTCAGTGGGAGCCCTGGGGAACCTGACTCTGGTGCTGGCCATCATCGTCTTCATCTTTGCTGTGGTTGGCATGCAGCTGTTCGGAAAGAACTATAAAGACTGTGTGTGCAAGATTTCTTCTGACTGTGAGCTGCCTCGTTGGCACATGAATGACTTCTTCCACTCCTTCCTAATTGTCTTCCGGGTGCTGTGTGGTGAGTGGATTGAGACCATGTGGGACTGCATGGAGGTGGCAGGCCAGGCCATGTGCCTTGTTGTCTTCATGATGGTCATGGTCATCGGTAACCTGGTGGTGAGTGTCCATACCAGAAGGGTGTGCAAGTTTTTTAGGGAAATGTCAGAGTGTTAGCTCTTCAAGTTATCACTAAATATTACTAATGTAGACAGAGATTGAAAATTGGCTCTTGTCATTCAGTGTCTGATTTCTTATTTTATGTCTAAAGGTGTTGAACCTGTTCCTTGCTCTGCTGCTGAGCTCATTCAGTGCTGACAACTTGGCTGCGACAGATGATGATGGTGAGCCCAACAACCTGCAGATTTCAGTCATGCGCATCAAGAAAGGCATTGCATGGATAAAAGCAAAAGTGCGGATACTGATAGCAAGTCTGCTGAGGAAACCACCAATGGAGGATGAGCAGAAGCCTTTAGATGACATGTATGACCAGAAACTGAACTGCATTGCTAACCACACTGGGGTGGACATTAACCGTGACTTGGACTATGCAAAAAATGGTAACGGCACTACCAGTGGTATTGGCAGCAGCGTGGGCAAGTATATGATTGATGAGGACCACATGTCATTCATCCATAACCCGAACCTGACTGTCTGCGTGCCCATAGCAGTGGGGGAGTCCGACTTTGAGAACCTCAACACAGAAGATTTCAGCAGCGAGTCAGACATTGAGAACAGCAAAGAGGTCAGTGAGAGGAGTGCATATATATATTATATGCACTTGTAGTTTATTCCACAGGTATTCGGCAAGAATTGACAAAAACACCAGTGGACTCTCGGGAGTCTATATAATAATACAGCCATATTTCCCAGAGTACTTAGCAAATAATTTCTTTTACTTTTTGAATGTCCACATTTAAATATTGTAGGTAACCTTCCATGGGTCCACGTGTTGTTGTTTTTGTTTTTATAATCCTCAGCTGGTCTCTACAGTGCAATTTCCTCTCTCAGGACGGTTAAACAATGGGTGTGGCTGGCTACCCTGCACTACTCGGACACTAATATACAGTAACTCCATTACTCAGTGGAGTTTAGCTAGAATGGTTGGAACAGGCAGACATTGTGGATGAAATGGATATCTGCTCACATATGTCTTTTGATGAAACGCATTTAGGAAACTTTCAGAACAGATGATCTGGCATTTGATATTCGCTTTTAGTGTTCATGGTAGGGGGGGTTGATATGTGATGTTCAGGATTGTTATGGTGTCCATGTCAATAACAAAAAGAACCTCTAGGATCAAATAGTAATTGAGGGTTTTTTTTCTGTTTAGTGATTGAGCCAATGCAAAAAAGCTGAAATGTTTATAAATGTTGCCCCTGTGTCTCTGTGCAAACATGTTTATGTGTGTGTGCACTCATGCATATGCATCTCTGCAGCTGGATGACACCAGTTCATCAGAAGGCAGCACCATCGACATCAAGCCAGATGTGGAGGAGGTGGTGGTGGTGGAGACGGTGGAGGAATACATGGAACCAGAGGCATGTTGGACAGATGGTGAGACCACTGCTCCCATTGCACTCATTACCTTTGCTCCACAACACCCTGGGCTAAGTGGAAATGACAGGGCAGCAGGTTGAAGGACAGTATCTTTATGAAGGATCACTCACCTGTGGAAAATGTCATTTTCTTTGTTTATCCATAACACTAATACACATTTATATAAGTACATATAATTCTAAAGTTAGTAGAGATAGTAATTTATATTTAAGGTCTATATTTAAGTAACAGAAACTGTGAGTGTTGTTAACACTTAAAGGGAATTTTTTTTCTACTTGCATAATATTGCACAAATTTTAGCATGTATTTGTATGGATTTTGTATTCAGTTTGGAGGTGCACTATGAGCAATGAGATTAGCCTAGCTCTTGCCCATCTCAAAAGTAGGAAAATTCACCTTTAAATATGTCCCTAGCTCTATTGCTTGTCAAGCTGAATACAAACAGGTATATGTACATTCATACCTATATTTTTGAAAATGTGGTACCAAACTATAATTTTGTATGCAGCGTTCATCCAGACAAATTGGTTAAGAAAATACATTGATGCTAATAACTCAAAGTGTTAAACACTGGAGTAAGCGTTCTGTATTTCCTCATTTCAGAGATGTTGCTTCTTCATCTCAAAAAAATCCAGGATTTGAGCTAAATTTGGTTAAACTAGCTACTGTTAGACATCCGAAACAACATAAAGACGTTAAAACTGTGTGCAGAGGTTTGAAAAGGCCTCAGTTCAATTACAAGACTCTAACCTTCCATGGATATCTTAATTTACTTGATCTTGTTATATCAAATGTCATCTCTTCTCTTGTGTGTCCTCAGCTTGTGTGGCCAAATACAAGTGCTGTGATGTTGACATCAGTCTTGGCTGGGGGAAGAGATGGTGGTACCTGAGAAAAACCTGCTACCTGATTGTGGAGCACAACTGGTTTGAGACCCTCATCATCTTCATGATCCTTCTCAGTAGCGGTGCCCTGGTAAGGAGCCCTGTGTTAGCTTTGTGCCCTTTGCAAATATCAAGTCAGACTTCATAGTCACACACAAAAAAGAGAGGTAAGCAAAAATGGCTTAAAAAGCTTGAGACTACCATTATATTAATCATTAAATGAAACACCCATGAGCCCAGAAAATACAAACTGGATAAAAACTGAGTAAAGACCACTCATTGAAAATAAAGGAACTGTATTACGTAGAGACTGGTGTGTGTCTATTCCAATAAGGAGGATTAACAAGTTGCTAAGTGGTGCAGTCAGTTTGGTTGTTCAGTCCTAATGCTGCTTGGCTGGGGGAGGGTCCAGGGTGCCAGTGATTAATGGACTGTACCATTTATCAAACAGGGGCTCTGTTTCTGGGGATGAAATAATGTCTTGTTCTGAAGCATGTCAGATGCTACTAAAATAAGAAGTAATTTGAAATATTTCAGGCAGAACCGATTTTTATTAATTTTGTAAATCACTGTTGGTACTCAGCCATGAGTGGGCCATAGTGCTGTATGCAATTTCATTAGCAGAATCATAACTCATGAAATGCAGAATTTCATTTGCCACGGCTGACAACGTTTCCTGTTCTTCCACAGGCCTTTGAGGATGTGTACATAGAGCAGAGGAAGACCATTCGGATCATTTTAGAGTACGCCGACAGGGTTTTCACTTACATCTTCATCCTGGAGATGTTACTCAAATGGGTCGCCTATGGCTTTGTCAAGTATTTCACCAATGCCTGGTGTTGGCTGGACTTCTTCATTGTGGATGTAAGTCCAGCGCTTGTTTCCTCCATTGTGTGTAGTAGACTAGAGCAGAGGAGAAGTTACTTGGTCCTCAGCCACACCCTGATCCAACAGCAACACGCTGATACAAAGATACATATAGTCTATCCAAACAGAAGTGCTAATGCTAATTTATACATTATATGCTCTGTGTATATGGTATAAATACAGGATCTGTTGTTTGTAATATTCTGTTTAACTGCTGACCCTAGTGTTGTCTGTTGGGTGTGGCCCAGTTTGAAAGATCAGGGTGTTAACTGAATATCTGCTTCATGGGATGCATTAGGTGAGAGGGCATGTTATAGTATACAGTAAAGAAGCTGCTTTATTTTGTGTACTTCTGCTATAAGGACAGTGTTTTACAAGACTTGAGTGCAGTCTGTCCATATCAAGTAAACACATGCCATGTGTCACCTCTTACAACTCCATCAAGCAACAATGTCTGTTTTTACTTGGTTGATCATGCTGAGATGCTTGAAAATGTAGTTATCTACTTGTGAATCTAAACACATTTGCTGGCATGCCACAAGAAAGAAACAGTTCACTCTGTTTTCCTACTAGATGCAAATTTATGCCAAGTTTAACATTCTGGGACCAGAACTGGAGGACATTTTTCAGAATTGTTTAAGTGGGTGCCAACAAAATTTGAGTCAGCCAGTCAATAACTGAGATTATTGATCGCTACAATTTTCAAGTCATGCTCAGGGCAATGGGACGTGTCAAAGATGTCTCTGTTAAGCTGTCTTTGCCTGTGTCTCTGACCTGTAAGATGTTTGATATGTGCCTCTGTCCCTTCTCTCCATGTACTTCTCTGCTCCTTGTGTCAATCAAGTTTGAAAGACCAGAACAGGGTTAATTCTTTATTCTTTTAATGTCACACAGACTGTTTTACCCCCATTTAATCTAATCTTGTCTGCTATTAAGAATATATAAACTTAGATGTTGAGGTTGCTGAAATATCTGTGGTGGATCTGTGAGAGCTCCTAGTGTGGGGAAGAAGTGTTTTTTTTTTCATCGCCACAAGCTTGAGGTATTTAAATTTTATAAAACGCTCAATCAGGGACTAATCTGCACCGAGTGGCACAATGGATAGAATAAGAATTACCCTGACTTCTGGCTTTCTTCTTGAACTAACCACCTCTCCGCAGTGTTCAACACCTCAGCCAATACCTGTGAATGGACTCCTATCAAAGACCAGAGGTTGCCATTTTAATTCATTATAAGTTCACGGCCTGCAGCAAACACACTTTTTACATAAAATAGTTAATACACACTTAATTTTTAAAACATTGCATGTTAACTAAATGCATTTATACATTTTACACTTTGTACATCCTAAAATTATGTAAAAGTTCCTAAAGGAATAAAGCAAGTACACATACAGCAAAGATTTTTGCAGCACACATAGTGCTTGCTGTGATTATAATCATACCTCACTGTACTTATTTTGGTTATTGTCATTGTAGACCCCGGGTGTGTTGTCAAGTCCAACACTTGGGACAGTGCAGGGCGCTACATTTCCCAAGTCATGAAAATGCTACATAGAGAGACATCCCTCCTCCTCTCCTCTTTCCCTTTCCTCTTGAAAGTGTAACCTCAGGAATGTGGTGATACTGTGCTGAGATGTAATGATGGTGGGTGACAGGCGGCCGGCGGTAAGTTTGGTCATCACTAGCGCTCCCCCTCCCAAAAAAATTGTACCTGATGAGTCTGGATTGTGTTGTGGCCTGACTGTGGCTCTGCCGTCCTGTGCTGTGGGGTCAAACCATTGCCATAGACTCAGAGGTGGGGGTCACCATCATTAAACCAGCTTGTAATTTTCTCGTGAGTGTGCCTGACACACTGTGTGAGTGTGTTACTTCTCATTTCCTTTGTGTTACTGTTTTTTGTAATCATTATGATTTGCCTTCTTGATTTTTATTGTAAGAATACTTTTGTACTGTATTGTAATGCTTTGGCTAAAATGCCAGGAGCAAGAAATCTTAGATTTTAGAGAATTAAGTATTATGTTAAATCCCTTTGCAGCATCATTGTTGGAGATCTCAACAAGATACATTTCCAAAGTAATATATTTTAATAGCTTTCTTCCACTGCAGGAATAAGAAGTAAACTAGCTGTTTAATTAATGGCAAAATGGTTAGGGTGGGCAATTCCTGATTAATAGTGATACTGAGGTGTGTGAGTGTGAGACTGTCAGGTGTCATACTTCATCTTTCTTTTTCACTCAGATTATCGTCATTGTTTTGTTGTGTTTTTCCATTTGTTTTTAGTTTGTTTTATTTCTGTTTGGTTTGTGCTGTTGTCATCATGGAATCACAGCCCCAGATGTCATTGGCCTTGCCTTGCAGAGCTCTGTGAGAAGGAAGCTGAGGCCGCTACCACGCAGCTGGCCCAGCAGGGGGCCAGAGGCCAGGCACCCCAAAGGGGGGCTCTCCAAGGGGTCAGGCTGAAGGTGACAATTACCCCAAACACTGTAGTGTAGATCAAGGCAAAATCTTTATTTTACTGTCTCGCCATCAGAACAGCTGCTAAATTATTCAAGAAGCAAGGTTAATGATTTAAATAAAGGCTTTGTGCCAAAGAAAAGTTTCAAGAGAATCTAATAAGTGTGTAACCAGGACACCCTGGGCCTGATGTTCAGTGTCCAGCATTTACAATAAGAAGTCTGAATTCATGCTGACACCTTTCCAGCTGTTCTTTCTGTAGATTTGATGGATTCCACTCTAAAATGATTAAAAAGTACATGCTTTGACATGTGTGTTGATAATGGCATTAGTCAAAATGAGGATTTTGCCTGTTACAAACCTCCCTCCGTGAGTTTGGTAAGCTTTGGATGTTGTGTACTTCTTGCGGTGAATTTGACCAGTTGGTGTCGGTGGCTGGTTGGAGGTGCTTACACATGTGTTCACTGTTGATATTTTTCCTTATTTGTAAGGAACTAGTACTCCCCCTGTTTCAGTTTCTCTAGCATCCAGTCTGAGAACTTTATAGTCTGGGGAAAAAAATCTCTAGCAATAGTACATTATTCCTAAGCAAAACGTACTGCAGTGGTCATGTAGTCACTTTTGAACAAAGAAAAATAATTTCTATTTCACTAAATTTCTAGGACCTGAGTCTAATATTAATACTTATTCCAATCCTACATTTTAAAATTACTGGCCTCCACATTTTTGTACATGGTTGAGATAAAACTAGAATGTTGTTGTTAAATTAGACAAATGAGTTATAACGAAATGGAGTAGGAAATCTGATCTGTGTTTTGTAATTGCATCAGAACTTTAGGTCTTATATAGTTGCACCCATAATTAATTTTATTCTTTTAGAAAACAGATACACCTAGAATTAAAGCCACTTGTAGAATATTTAGACACCTAGAATGTTGACTTTTTAGTACAATTTCAGTTCAAAGCTATGATTCAAGAATGCAAGATATTTGCAAGTAATATAAAATCTGATGTACTGGGCATAAATGAAACCTTTGTAACAGTTAATATTTATGTTTAAGCAACCCACACATTTGACTTTTTGCTGATGATAGATTAAAATTGGAATGAATAATTAATTACTTGGCTGACCTTGTGAATATCATCTGATATTCATATGAGGTCAACCAATTAATTAAATAGTATGCAATTAATTTTACACTATAACATACAGGCAGTATCGTCACCTTTCTGTTAACTTGCATAGCCTGCAATTCCTCTAGGCGGTATAGTTTTTTTTTAGCGTGCTACCCCAAAACCTTTGCTCCCCCACCCCCAAATATTTTCTGCAGATGCCACTATATGAAGTGCACTCTGGCCACATCAATACCTTGGTGGCTGCTACTGGGTGAGAGAGGGGTTGCACCAGTTTCTTTGAAGCTGTGTTCTGTTATTGTTGACTGTGTGTAACTTGACTGTACTCTGTGTATTTTTTGTCCTTTCAGTGCCATCCAGTGCTAATAACTATATCCAGTCTGCCCTTAACCTCTGTCCCTGTTTCTTGTGTGTGGTTTATGTGACTGTGGCTCTCCTCTTTGACTCTAAATGCTGTGTGACAATTTGATGTCTGAGAAAGATGACATACTTGTACATATTTACTTGTATTCTTTCTCTTAGGTTCCATTAGTTTGTCTGTCTTAAATTATATGGCTCGGCCAAGAGCGACATGGAGAGACAATGTTAGAGGGGCAAGGGTAAGGCTCTCAAGTCTGTTGGGTTTTTATCAACTTCTACAGGGTAACCTCTCTCCTTCCCTCCCTCCCCAACTTTTCCTCTCCCAGTCCCTTCACTTGTATCTTTACTAAATCATGTAGCAGTTTTTTCTGCCTAATTTACCCTCTATTTGAGTCTTATGTCTCAATCTCCTCTCTTTCTCTCTCAACCACAAATTTCTTTGCAGGTACAAAGGACTTTTCACATCTCATCAACTGCCCCAAAATAACAAACAGTCCCTATGGCCTACTGTTACTAAAAATACTACGCACATAAAACCTATACTAAACATTGATCTTCTCTCTCAGTGTATATACATGTATAATTGCAGTGTTATACATGCATATACATGCATAGATTTATGTGTGTATGTCAAGCAACTCTCCGCCTATGCCAGGGCCAACTCTCTTCCCTAGTGAATATTCTCACTTCTAACAGTTTGGAACCTCTTTTGCTTCTCTGTTTTTGTGTAGGTGTCTATAGTCAGCCTTGTAGCTAATGCGCTGGGCTTCTCCGATCTAGGGCCCATTAAATCACTCAGGACACTAAGGGCCTTGAGACCCCTCAGAGCCTTGTCACGTTTTGAAGGGATGAGGGTAAGATCCAAAGCTAAGCAGCTCCGCATGCCCATTCAACAGTTTAAAGCATGCTAGAACTGATTTAAAAACAAAGAGGACAAAAAAAAAAAACAAAAAAAAAACTCCATAATATCAGGGGATTGTTTTTAAAGCCAGGAAATGAAAGCCAAGAAATCTTTTCGTGCGCAATCCTGTACCATGCCTTTGTTAGAGCGAAAGCACAAGTCATGATGCAGCTGGGAGATTGAGTAAAGTAACAGTAAAGTTAAAGTTATATTGTCAGCAGACCAACATATACATTTCAAATGAATCTCTTTAAATATACAAAAAAATCTACACACAAATTGATTTGTTTCATAATTTAAAAAAACAAAAGAAAACAACAAATATCTTTCACAAAGCTGCCTCATCACATAAGTGACAAACTAGAAATTCTGACCTCATCTGACATTATTTCTTCTTGATTGGCCAAAGTGAATGTGAAATTGGTCAAAGCTTACAAAACGTACATGCCATCTCATAGAGCATTTGAATCAAATATTAGCTCTTCATTTGGCCTGATTTTTTAACCACTGCTTTCAATTAAGAACCCCCCTCTCCTCTACATATCCCTCCCCCTGCTCCCATAACCTCCCCCTCCTACCCAGCTCACACCATCGCTCAGTGCATTTGGCATCGAGAACAACCAGCAGGAACCGCGGAGCTGCAGGACACCAAAACGTCTGCCCAGCCAGTCACACCAAAACTCTGCATGTAGGGTAGCTGCCAGACAACCACTCATGTCTTATCAATGATAGAAAATGCAGTGGTTTGCAGAGCAAAGATCACTCGCTGCGACAGTACCTCTGGTTGCTTCAGTTTCCTTGTCCTAAAATTCACAGATCTAATTGGTCGCCTGTGTGACTGGTGGTAGCGATAGGTTGCACCTGGTTGTTGTCACCTTTAGTCCCTCCTGTCTATTTCTCTTTCTATTTTTCTATCTCTGATTCTGATCTGATCTGATTCTCTTACCTCCTACTATTCTTGGACTGGTTGCCTTGTCTTTTAGTCTGAGCTTCTCCTTTTCACCTCAGACCCTCCCCACCTCCTTCTCAGCCCCACATGTGCTGCACTGTGCAGCACCCACCCTTCCCCCTTATCCTCTTCCTTAGCACCCCTTATCCCTCCACTACTCACATCACCTTAACCCGGTTTGGCTGGTCCAGACCGCTGGAGGGTCACCACACTATCTCCTGCTTGTCCAGGATCTTTCTGCATCAGGGACTAAGACAGAAACCACACACTCCATGTGTTGTGGCTTTGGGAGGAAAGTATTTGTCAAGCTTCTGCCAGTATTTGTCAGGCTTATGTGACTGATCTGTTAACAGTCCAGTCTGGTTGCAGGTTTTTACTTTTATTTTTCCTGAATTTTATCTGTAATAAATACCTGTTTGATGCTCTCCTTTGGGAATACAGGCAGAAGCTTAGCAAATATGCTAGGCTGCCATTTCACACAAGGCATTTCTGCTATCATGTCATGGCACCACGTACTGTAGTGCATGCAGCAGGCCCTGGCTTCCTGTTGCCTTCCATTCCCACAGGAAGTGAAACTGGGAGGCAACAGTGGGCCCAGTTAAACTCTGACTTTGAGTTCTGAGCCTGGGTGGGTGGTGGCCCACAAGTTGACAAGCACTGCAATGTTCAGACAACGCTCTCAAGCTTAGACAGACAATGTGTTGCTCCTCTTTAGTATGTCCCAAAAATGACAGACCATCAGGAGAAGGCGTCCTGTGTAAACTCAGTGGGTGGATCGTAAACAAATTTAACATTAAAAGCTGACTCACGGTGAAGTCTCATTCATATTAGATATCCAGCGACTAAAATGTGATGCCGTTGCATGCGAGCAGACATCAGTGCTTTTAGGCCCTGGATAGGCTTTATGGATGTTGTCATGAATGTTTCTATGAAATTGTTAATTTTTTTGAAAACGATGTCTATAAGATAATGTCATTTTTGGGGTTGGAAATCATGGCACATTTGGCTTTATTAGTGTGTATTAATGAAATACCAGTGCCCTTATGAATGACCTCATTCACTGGATGTATGTGGTAAAAGAGATGAAAGTGGCCCATTAATGCAGAGGGGGGGGGGAAAGAGGATTTTGATCCTATTGTTTCAATTTTTACTGTTTATGTTCATCAATAGTTATCATTATGTTTAAACAGAAACTGAAAAATTTGAGGTGAAAGCAATAAATAAATGAACAGGGAAGTACATGAATGGAGAGATGACGCCATATGAAAGAGATTCTGGAGAGGTAGAACAATGGGATACATCCCCGTTTGGTTGAGTGGTACATTACGATTCATCGCAGAGGCCATTGCAACTCTACAGCGCCGAGCAAGCTGTTGAATAGGAAACATTGCGCTGCTTAACATGCAACGATTATGAGCAGTTCTGACTTTGTACTTTGCTCTCTCTTTCTCTTAATGCTGCTTTGTAGTCTGTCCTACTTTTTTGAGTAATGCATTGTACAGGAGTGACACCATGCCTAGCCATCTTTACCCCACTCTGAGTTATTATTATTATTTTTTTTTTTATAAACCTACTGACAGTCATCTTATAATTTTATCTTTACCAGCTGTTAAAGGCATTAGTCATCATGGGGCTTTTTGGATATGACCTCTGATCACCAGTCATTTCTGTGCCTGTCTTCACTATGAGCAGTCCAGACATATATCACATATCACAATGCAGTTATATCTTACAAATATCAGATTATACTATAGATAGTTGTCAGATATATAACCCATGTAAATATCAGAATGGTTCATCAGATACGCAAGCATAGTTTCGGCCATTTTCTTTAATCGCTATCTCTCTATCCACACATTTCTCTATTTATTTATTGATTGATTTGAGCAGTTCTTGAGATTGTGCAATGCCATGTAGCACGCATGTACTTTAACTGCTGATGCACATTATGCATTTTTGAAAGCCATTTTCCCTCTTTCTGAGAATTATTTCCACACAGCCTAATTTTAATAATAATAATAACAGAAGTTTAACAGAATTTTTGAAAGCAGTTCTGTTGTACTTCAAATCGAGCAAAAGGTCATTCTCCCGGTGAGTGCAATGGCGACAGGGTGGGAATGACATTATTACATTTTAAATGTATCCCAAAGTCATATTCTTTTAGCATTTTACAACAGACACAATATTTTATCAGTTGCCCTCTGTACAGTACATTTGAAATGTATGATCCCACATTCAACACCAGTCAACCTGTGAAAATCCTGTACATGCTGAGAGAGTCCTGCTCTAGAGCTTCTCCCTTTCTGTCTGTAATGAGGAGGGAATATGGCTTCACAAAACGAGTCTGCCAAAGACATGCATGCTCAACTGTCTGCCTGAGAGCTGCTGGTCGGCCTGCCTAACACTGGTAGTGAGGGGTTCGCTATGTGCTGAGCTTATTACTGCCTCTGATAAATCTACAGTCAGTCAGATTGGACTGATAGAAAAGACTAGATTTTGGGGTGGTGATGGGAATTATACTTGGGTTTTGTTTTTTTTTTTACTGCTGTAGTGTTATATTGTTTAACTTGAGCTAGTTACAGGAAAAGGTCACTAAGATTAGGAATATTGACTGTTTAAGGTTGGGGTGGTAAGAGTGGACACTTCATAGTGGTATGGCAAACACTTGTGATTTTTACTGATACAAGTAAAAACCTGTAGAAACATATGCACATCTGTTTTGTCCAGATATTATAAACTTTATTTCTCACAACCAGTGTTGTAGTTGAGTCGCTAAACCTCGAGTCTAGAGTGCCTGGTGTTTGAGTCCTCATTACTGAGTCATCAAGGACTACATTGAACACAACTGACACACCGTGTAAAAAAACTTTATGTACTTTTGTGACACAATAGCCAAACAAATGCACTTATAAGCATCCACACACACACACACTACTTAGAAGTGAAAAGTGTGAAATAATTTACAGAAAGGCACAGTGTATGCTTCAATGGAAATGTGCTGGATACAGCATGGTGCAGACAGCAGGTTTTAATATCCCCCCTCAAAAAAAGCCAGTGTCCTTTTCTCCAACTTCCAAGTCTGAATCCAGCCAGTGCTTGTGTCCAAGTCCAAGTCAAGTCACGAGTCTTGAAAATTAGGTCGTAGAAGTCAAGTCAGTCGAGTCCTAGATTTGAGTGCTACGGCACTGTCCAGTGCTCCTGTTATTGTTACAGGCTTGAATCCTTATATGATGTCATATTTATATGTACAGTATGTAATAAATATATTCAAATATGAAATGATAATGGTAACATTTAATGGTTTTGTGAGAGATAAAGCATTAAGAAGCAAACACTGGAAAGCTGTATGTATGTGTTTGTGTGGGGAGGGCTTAATATAAGTATGCATGTGTGTGTGTGTTTATAAATTTATGTAAAAAAAATTAGGTTCCAGCATCTTCATTTTTGTATGCTACAATACTCCACTGTAGATGAACTCACAAATGTTTATTTTTTCTTATGATTTAGTGCTATATAAACATTTAATAAATGGTTTATAACTCATTAAAATGCAACTATAAGCAGATACAGGGACATTTTAAGTACTTATTAATTTGCTATATTTGTAAACAAATGTTCAGTAGCTTATGCTTTTCCAGATTATTATTATTAACGTGTTTTAACAGCACCCTCCACTTACAGCATGGATGTTCACAGGAGTAAAATTGTTGACAGATACATTTATTATTTACTATATTAGTGTTTTATTAGCCATTTATTCCATGTTTACATACTGCTTGTAAATGGTAAATAGGGGATTTATAGTTTGATTCTTGTATGAAAGTGGCTGTAATCAAAATCATAAAAATTCACAAAATTGTTTTATATCAAAAGTATAATAATTATTCATTGTGTGATTCTTATTAGGGTATTTGCCTTGATACCTGTGTGTGTGCGTGCGTGTGCATGAGTACCCTTTAAGCAGTTGTAGCTGCAGGCTTCAGCAGATCAAAGAGGCTCTCAGGGTAACACCAGTGTTGTGACAATTAGAACGGAACTGATATAGCTTTCTTTCCCTTAATTCCTCACACTTTAGTATGCACATCACAGTGGTATGCAGTGCTTATTTTTGGCTACATGAAATCATATTGAACTACCAGTCTGAACACCGCCAATAAAGGTTGAATAGCGTTTCCAGGAACTAAGTGTAACGCCATAACAGTATGTAGTGTCTTATTGGGTTAAAGGGTTTGAATGAGCTGTGTTCATTTTCTGGTTCTCACACGGTCGTGTCCTGTCTTCCTTGGTCTGGTCTAGGTGGTAGTCAACGCCTTGGTGGGTGCCATCCCTTCCATTATGAATGTGTTGCTGGTTTGCCTCATCTTCTGGCTGATTTTCAGTATCATGGGGGTCAACATGTTTGCGGGCAAGTACTACTACTGTTACAATGAGACTCTGAAGGATAGGATTCCCCTCGATATTGTCAACAACAAGACCGAGTGTGAGGCCCTCATTAAACAAAACTATACTGAGGTCAGGTGGAAGAATGTCAAGATCAACTTTGACAACGTGGGCGCTGGCTACCTTGCCCTGCTGCAAGTGGTGAGAGTGTCACTCCTCCTCTCTATAACTCTGTTTCTTGTTTCACACTAACTTGGTTTCTTTTGTCATTTTCTTATGAACTTTAGTTTTTTCTGTGATTCAGTGGAGGGTATATTGTTGCTTCAAATTCCATGTACTTTCACAGTCTGTTGTTTGTTGTTTATCTTCACTCTTCATATTTGTGTTTTTCCATGCGCTTTCTTTCATCTACTTATTTCTCTCAGTGCACAAGCTGTGCCACAAGACATATCAGTTTGAGTATTTGATTTTAATTGAGAAATTTCTTGGTATTTTTTAGTTTTTACAAATGTATTTAGCCATGTGTTTTTTTTTTTTGTTTTGTTTTGTTTTTGAAAGGCAACGTTCAAAGGCTGGATGGACATTATGTACGCAGCTGTGGATTCCAGACAGGTACCAACATTCATTGCTTTGTCACAAAATACTATAATGCTCATTTACAGTATCTCAGTGTTACTTGCTAACGCAAGTTCAACACTTTGGGAAATGCACTTAAATGCCTCTTTGCAGAGCTAGATGAGAAGATTGAACAGTAAGCGTTAAGCTATTGCCAGTCTTTTTGCTAAACCGTGTTACCCAACTTCTGGCATAATTACCATGCAGATGTGAGAGCAGTATTGATCTTTTACTCTAAATCTGAATAAACTTTTTTTTTTATTTAACTTCTATTAAGAAAATACTACTGTCAACGTTTTTTTTAATTCAAGGTGGAAGATCAACCTGCCTATGAAGTCAATATCTACATGTACATCTACTTCGTCATTTTTATTATATTCGGCTCCTTCTTCACCCTCAACCTCTTTATTGGTGTGATCATTGACAACTTCAATCAACAAAAGAAAAAGATAAGACCCACTCTTTCTCCTAATCCTCTGTTTATCTTCAGGAGTTTTCATTTTTGTTATTATATGGTTATAACCAAATTTTTGTTTATCCCTTTACTTTGGAGGTCAGGATATCTTCATGACAGAGGAGCAGAAGAAATACTACAATGCTATGAAAAAGCTGGGGTCCAAAAAGCCACAAAAACCTATTCCTCGACCACAGGTATGCTTTTCTTGGGGTTACTGCTTATGACCAAGTGTTCACATTATTCAGCAGATGCTTTTGGTTGAAACCTCTATATATCCCCACTTTATCCTTCTCTATGTCCTTGCACCTTCTAGAACAAGATCCAGGGAATTGTCTTTGATTTTGTCACGCAGCAAGTTTTTGACATCTCCATCATGATACTGATCTGTCTCAACATGGTCACCATGATGGTGGAAACAGATGATCAGACCAATGAAACAGAGAATGTCCTCTACTGGGTCAACTTCATCTTTATTGTAGTCTTCACCACGGAGTTCTTGCTAAAGCTCTTTGCCCTTCGCCACTATTATTTCACTAATGGCTGGAACATCTTTGATGTGGTGGTGGTCATCCTCTCTATTGTCGGTGAGTGAAGGAAGTCGAAGACAGAGCAGTGAGAAAGTAACTTCAGAATATCACTTGTAGAAGTCAATTGTTTTCTGATGGTATTCTTTCTTTCTTATTTTCCATGCCCTCAGGTATGTTCTTGGCTGACATCATTGAGAAATACTTTGTATCACCAACCTTGTTCAGGGTGATCAGGTTAGCTCGTATTGGCCGTATCCTCCGTCTTATCAAAGGAGCCAAAGGCATCCGAACATTACTCTTTGCCCTGATGATGTCACTGCCAGCTTTGTTCAACATTGGCCTACTGCTCTTCCTGGTCATGTTCATCTTCTCCATCTTTGGCATGTCTAACTTTGGCTATGTAAAACATGGAGCAGGCATTGACGACTTGTACAACTTTGAGACCTTTGGCAACAGCATGATTATCTTGTTCATGATCACCACTTCGGCTGGATGGGATGGCTTGCTACTGCCAATCCTTAACTACCCACCAGACTGTGATACTTACCTAGAGAACCCTGGAACATCCGTGAAGGGCGATTGTGGTAACCCTTCAGTGGGAATCTTCTTTTTTGTCATGTATATCATCATTTCTTTCCTGATTGTGGTCAACATGTATATTGCCATCATCCTGGAGAACTTCAGTGTGGCCACAGAGGAAAGTGCTGATCCACTCAGTGAAGATGACTTTGAGACCTTCTACGAGATCTGGGAGAAGTTTGACCCCACTGCCTCTCAGTTCATTACTTTTGCCAAGCTGCCTGACTTTGCTGATGCATTGGAGCACCCACTTCGTGTGCCAAAGCCCAACACTATAGAACTAATTGCCATGGACATGCCCATGGTGAGTGGTGATCGCATTCACTGCCTGGACATCCTGTTTGCCTTCACAAAGCGTGTGCTGGGTGACAGTGGAGAGTTGGACATGCTCAGAGCAGAGGGAAGAGCTTTTTGTGCCAGCCAATCCCTCCAAGGTGTCGTACGAACCCATCACTACCACCCTCCGCCGCAAACAGGAGGATGTCTCTGCCAGAATTATCCAGAAGTCCTACCGTGCTCACCTCATCAGGCGCGGCTTCATCTTCAAGCGCCATGCTTTTGCTAACAGCACACTTGAAAATGGTGGGACCAATCAAGAGAAGAAAGCGAGCACGCCATCCACTGCCTCTCTTCCCTCATATGACAGTGTGACCAAACCTGACAAGGAGAAGCAGGATGAAACGAAGGAGGAGTGGGCCAAGAAGAAGGACAAAAACCAAAAAGATGAGTGGGAATCCAAATGTTAGGGTTCAGAGACACAAAATCCAATAAAACAGTGAGATGAGACTGAGCCCAAATATAACAAATGTAAAAAAAGTGATCATTTGCAAGTAAGAAAAAAAAACTTTTAAAAAGGTTTACAGACTCAGATACTACTACTGTAAGGCAACGTGGTTTCTTATGTCGTCCAACACAGCTAAACATCATCAGTTTACTGTGGAACATTTGCTGCATAGTGACCAAGTTCATACAAACGAGGAACAAAATGAAAAACAGCAACTCACAGTGTCTGGCCAGTGACACACATTTCTTTGGGGACCAACTGCCAATGCACAGAAATCTCTGCCAGATAATTGGAGAACTGCAAAATCTCTGCCACCACCAAGTGTGGACCCCACTCAGCAAAGCTCCAGTGCTACGGGAATGGATCATACAGCGCTCACTGGAACTGTTAACAGTCTAAATGAGGGCCTGTAACAGAGTTTACCATCTTTAGCAAGAAGAAAACTATAATCACCCAAGCAAGTTTAGCTAGGACAGAAGCCCAAGCGGAGGAGGGGGAAACCCAGAACTGTAGACAAAGATTTTTGTTTGTTTGTGCTGAGTATACTTGCATCTTTGCATTATTTGAGCAGCAAAAAAATATTACATTTTAGCCCATGGCGCTGGTCTTTTCATCTCCTCTTTGTTATACTGACATTGAAAAAGACATGGGCTTTCACACTGACCGGGTAGTAGTCATTAGTCATTGTTTTGACTTGGGCAGAAGGAGACTTGCTCAGGCCAAGTTCCAGATAAATAATTATTGTGCTTGTTCAGTGCATAGAAATGACTTGCATGAAGGCATGTTTTGATCAGGAATCATGCATGAGTAATCATAGTCCACAAGGCACTAATTCTCAGACCACTGCAGTGGCTTGACTAAAAGTTTGAGGCTGTCCACTGGAGGAATTACAATAACTATAAATGGAAAATGAAGATAATGATATATATATAGTATTTGTAGAATGGTATTTGTATGATCCCACCCTTCACTAATTTTGTTTGTCAAATCACCTTGATTTTTTTATTCAGCTGTTCATTAAATAATTTCAGGCGAGTGAAGGTGGTAAGCACTCAGTGGCAAAGTCTCAGTCAGATCAGCCAACAACACAAGCTAGAAAATGTTTTTTTGCTGCTCTGAATGTTAATAGTAAAAAGAGTGTGGAGTGTATAGAACTAAAATGGCCTCATGTTGAGGATGCACAGATTTGCAGGGCCCTGTTCATAGACCTGAACCAAATCTGGGGCTTACATCTCTTTGTTTACTTAAATCTGTCCTAGAGCCACATTCCTCACTTACCTGTGGTCCCGGTTAGGGTAATGAAAAGTTGATGTTTCAAGCCAAGGAATCCATATCTGGCACCAGTATAGATCTGTGCTCAGGTGTCAGTAGGTATGCCCTCTACTGCTGTCAGTCCTCATGAAGGGACAGCAATATGGATTTGTTTTGATATTTCTGTTTCAGTATAGTGGAGGAGCCAAAAACCACATTTAGGTAGATGCATAAATCAGTCATTTTACTGGTTCATTTCATTACAGTTCCTCTTTACTCTGTCAGATCCCCATCAGAGTGATGTCTTAGGTAGTGCTTTCTGGACAAATTAAGTTGCCAGCTTTTGAAGAAAAGAAGCCTTGAAGTCCTCCCCTGATGCCCCTGTGATGTAGTCATTCCTATAGAAGACTGATCAGTGCGAGTGACACGGACCATCTGAAACAACAGACTTAGTGGAAAATTAACACAAGGATGTTTTGTTTTGCCTGTATGTATGGAAAATGTATGGCCATGAAGGGCTTGTGGTGTGTCTGTAGAACCAAAAGGATTTTCTCTGGTGATAAATAGCATAACAAATATGGTCCCATAAATAGGTAGACTGACTGCCATTTGAACAAGAGCAGAAGAAGAGAATAGTGCTTTGGTCTTAGCTGCAGTGCTGAAAGTCCCATGTTTGTCAGTGTATCATTGTGCTTTTGTGGGACTTCTTTAACCACTGTGTCGTGTTGGACCCAGGCTCGCACCATTATTTCATATACTTGCAGACTTTCAAATGCTATCACCTGCTTCAGAAATAATTAGCCAGAGAAGGCAGTAAAAGCCTAACACTTACTGAGATAAAACATCAGCAGGCCTCACATTGACACAACTATGTTGTATAATAAGCTTTGTGGGCGTTTTTCATAAACAAAACAAACAAACACAAAAAAAAGCCTGAGGCTTTGTCGAGTGCTAGACAAGACACAGCTGCCTCCTTAGGTGTTCCTGCCATTTCTTTTCTACACAAAGTGATAGTCCTATTTATAAGTGGATGACTAGACGTAAATCTGACATCCACTGTCACACAACTAATGCCATTTGGTGTGTTTAACACTGCCTGTTCCATAAGGTCCTGTCTGTAGTAATACCCGAGGTCTGTTTACAATATGATGTGTCCGAATCAGTTTGGCTGCTGTATACTGAAACCAAATACATTCCCAATGAGAACCACAGGAGGAGTAAGTAATGCCATCTGAATTACCCATGTTCATTTTGGATGTAATGTTTTAGAATGATACATTCACACTTGAGAAAAAAAAAGAAACCACAAAAACAGGTGTACAGTGCAGGCTATGATGTAAATGGCACAATCGCTGAAAAAGAATGAACTTTTTGAGAGAAACTATAAATATTGTATTATATTCTTTTATTTTATCAGCATGCTTTGTTGTTTTTGTAAATACAGAATTTTAAAAATATTACTACTAATAATCAAAAAATGAATAATAATATAGAATGGCTTCTAACTATGCCCTTTGTCACATTTGTTACCTTTTGGATTTTTTTGAGACACTTTTCACTTTGTTGACAGAAATTGAATGAAATATAGATATACAGTATAATACAAAAGATATATACATGTATACATATATGTCTATATGTATATACATAAAAGAACACTGTCACATTTCATTTATGTGCAACACATTCAGTGGATGTCTAAAACTGGCTCTTGCCGGTGTTTCCTATGTTGAAGAATAGCTCATATGCGATGTTACTGGAGCTGCTTGCCATTGACTGTAGCCTGATCACGATGAAAGGATAATGTTACCAGCACATTTTTCACTTACTGTCATGTCGCTCACTGTCACTGAGTACACAGGACACACCCACAGTCACGGACACAAATGCACACAGCTGACTCTCCTCACTGCCCAGATCGCTACCAGTGATCTCTTCCCGGAGGACGTCAGCTACTGTGATTGACTGCCGCTACCTACCCCTAGGGCCATTTCCCATACATACCCACACATCAGTGCCATGACAACTCAACATACAGACAGCTTGCTTCTCATCCTCACTTTTCTTTGGTCTGTTTTCTAGTGTTCCACTTAATGGCATGTGCCTTTTTTCTGCTTTTTCTGCAAATTTGGATGTCAGTGCCACACAGAAAAAAAAAAAAATTCCAACAGGGGAGGGTGGGGTTCAGGGGTGAGCACCGCATTAATCAGGGATGTCGAATCGGAAGTACTGCCGGAGGACACCCAACTTCATCTTAATATTCAACAGTGTGTGATATTAACAGAAATACAGCTAACTCAAAATTGTCCTATTCTTAGTGCTATGTGTATCACCCACTTGGCTTGTGAAAAAGCAGCTTGCCTTCTGTGTTTGTTTTATTTCTTCTATATTTCTGTATCCATTTGAAATTTATTTTTGTATCAAATCTGATTATAGGACTCATTCTTTTTCAGCATGGTTTATTATGGAAGTTTTTTTTTCTTTTTTGCTGAAAAAAATGAATATGCTTTTCAAACTGTTGTCATCTTTTGATGCACTGATAAGAGGATATATACAGTATAATATGACGGTGTGTTGCACAACCACTTGGACACTTGGTAAGAATATATGAAAGATTGTCTTCATTTCAGCACGAACCTTTTTATTACCAATAAAGCAGCCTTCCAGTTACAACTTGTGCTTGTTTCTTAATAAAAAGCTGACATCTGAATATTTTTGATCACCTTTTTAAAATACATGTGGTGCAGCCTCATATGGCAGAACTTCCCCCTCTGCTTTCCTCCAGGCTTAGTTCACATTGTGTCCACTTTAGTGTAAGTAGTGGTCACCATTTTGTGTAGCTTATTTTACTCTTGTGGTGCTGTATGTGGATTCAAATGGATTACAAAACATCCTGTGAAATGGAGCTGAGCAGCACTGTGGTGAAAGGCAGCCTTTCAAACGTAATGGATTTATTGAATTTGTTAAAAGCTCTGTGTTAAAATCCCCCTCACAGGCAGAAGATGGACTATAGCCCCATTATCATGCAGTCCATCTGTACTGTAAAGTAAATGGCTCATGGGTATGATATTACAGTCGTCATCCCCATAGCGTCATCCTCGTGTGAACAGGGCTGAGGTAACCATTGTAGGGGATAATGATCTGAGCTTTTTCCCACTGGAAAAATGGGAAATAAACCTTTTTGGAGAGTAGGTGGTATGTAAATGATGCATGGAGTTGTCCTCAGGCAGTGCAGACACCGAGTACCTCCCTTCCCTTTTTGTGACATTACAAAATTTCAGCTGAAGTCACGCTGGAGTCTTACACTTTCCCTCCTCCCATGCTCTTCCACCATCTCCTTTTTTTCTTTTCTATGTGTCTCTGTTATCTGACATCTACACATGTAGGCAACAGCGACCTATCTTTATTGACTATCGACCCTCTCGGTCAATCTTGTTTCACTGCCGTGCCCCAGGATGGCTTGTGAGAAAGCAGTGAGAGAGAGAGGGAGTCGGTGAGGGAGGGGGGAGCTGGTGGAGTACTGCAGTGCAGATAAATTAATGCAGCAGTCGAGGCTGAGTCAGCAGCACACACCCTCCCAGCTTGGCCCAGTGCTTCCACCAACTTGTGGAGGCACATTGGAGAATATTGCCTCTTAAAATTAGGCTCAGTAACAGTATCTGAAAGTGTTACAGCAGCTCATGTAGCTGCACACTGTGCAGAGGCGCTGTCCTTGGTGCTTGAGGTGGTATCAGGAGGATGAACACCCTCTACCCCGATGTGAGGCTCTCTGGGTGGGGGTGCACCGGAGGAGCTTAACCCAGCCATAATAATTTGTTTAGCATGTGAAGGAGCTTGACCTGATTCATGCACAGCCATGCCCACACTCTCCTTCACTCCTCCTCCCCTTTTCTGAAGTATGTTGCCATATAGCATGTGGTGTCTCTGTGGGTACATCTAGATGTGGCTAAATGTAACAATTAAGCGCGTCCCACTTTGCCATGGTTACCTGTATACACACGTTGTAGTGACACTGAATATCATTATAGTCGTTTGCTGAGAGCTATGTATCAATTACAGAGGCTCTCCATCCACTGCAATACAGTGCTTGAATTCATTTATATCCTACTGTAATTCCCTTCCGCTATCCCATTTTGCTGCAGTCATGCTGATAAATGCCAGACAGTAAGTTCAAATAGCCAGCGATGAAAGGGGTTTTCCTACTATCTGATCCCATTTCAACTGGACTGATATCAGAGGGTTGTGTCTGTGCCCTCCCTCTCTTCTATCCTCTCTTCCTCCCTTCTCCACCTCCCCTCTTCTCATGGCCTCCCATTCTCCTCAGAGTCAGACTGAGGTGGGAGGATGAAGCCCAGAGAGAGAGTTCTCCATAATGACTATGGTCAGAAGCCAAGAGCCCCTGTCAGAGTTGCGGCTTCACATCTCTTAATGAGAAACAAAGCAGATAACTACACCTACCCAAAGACACGGGCTTATCCACTCCCAACACACAAATATACATAAAAACCAACAGTGTAACCAGTTATAGTCTAGTTTTTCTCCACCGGCTCCTCTTTTTTTAAACTAAACATGAACTGTCTCTTATTGTATTTTCTGCCTCATTGCATAAACTTAATGTGCAACCATATAAATTAGTGTGAACAAAGTGTATGCTATATACAGTCTGCACTGCAAAAAAGAAACAAAACAGATGCATTCACACACCTCCCCACCACTGCATTTTAAAATCATTTCCTGAATCAGCCTGAGTTGTTTTCTGCCTGATTTGTTTGATTTTCCAAACAGCAGCACCCACCTCTGGTCAGTTCAATGTATGAATAAATTTACCCCTTTTTAAAATGCACCTCACTAAATGCTGCCTCATCTGTTCATTTTGATTGGGTGGTACAGACAGCACTGCTCATTAGTCTCCAGTCTCCATACCAAACATTATCACATTGAGTTTATTATAAAATCTCAAATAAATTGAAAGTACAATTGTAGACATCACAAAAAACATACGGATGAATTCACAACTCATTTATGAGCCTAAATTAATTTTCAAGACATTTTTCATCTGTTATTTATACTGCAGAGAAAATCAAAATAAGATGCAGAAAAGTAAATCAAGCCTGTGCTCTCTGTAAGACATGGGCATCTGAAGAGGACTGTGTATTTTTAACAAAAAACAAACATAAGATATATAGACCTTTACATATTGTATCTGGATAATAAAGCATAAAGTTCCAGAGCTTGGAACTTTTCATCTTCCTCCTGGTCATGAGACTCATAGGACCTTATATTGTCCAAGAGTAACTACCCACAATATTTTATGGATAATGATACACAGGTCAATAGAGTGGAGGATGTAGTTGAAAAGTTTAATAGGTTCTTTGTGAATGTTGGTCCTGGTTTAGCAAGAAGTATTTGTACAGATGATACATCCGTCACTATAAATAACAATACAATCGAAAGGAACAGGAGTTCAATGTTTTTGAAGCCCATAGCTGAAAAGGAAATTATAAAGATAGTGAATAAATGTCGTAACAAAACATCTAGTGATAGTGATGGTATCACTATGACAACTGTTAAATGGGTAATTGAGGGGATATGCAAACCATTAACCCATATTTTTAACATGTCGTTTCGACTTGGGCAGTTCCCCAATAATATGAAAATAGCAAAGGTTATTCCACTGTATAAATCTGGTGATAAGCACAACTTCACAAATTATAGACCGGTTTCTCTGTTGTCACAATTTTCAAAAATTCTGGAAAAACTCTTTAATAACAGATTAGACACATTTATTGATAGACATAAAATCCTCTCTGATTGCCAATATGGTTTTAGGTCGAACCGATCGACATCTTTGGCCATTACCGACCTGATGGAGGACATTACAAGTGCTATGGATGAGAAGAAATACACGATGGGAATATTTATTGACCTAAAAAAAGCATTTGACAAAATCAATCATGAATTATTAATGGATAAGTTAGAAAAATATGGGATCAGAGGAATGGTTCTGAAATGGATTAAAAGTTATTTGACACAGAGGCGTCAATTTGTGAAGTTGGGTGAATACCAATCGAGTGAGCCTGACATTGTATGTGGAGTGCCTCAGGGTTCTGTTTTGGGACCTAAACTATTTATATTATACATCAATGATATATGTAAGGTTTCTGAAACTGTTAAAATGGTTTTGTTTGCTGATGATACTACCATTTGGGC